GGTACCGGAACAGGGCCGTGATACCGGAACAAGGCCGTGATACCGGAACAGGGCCGTGGTACCGGAACAGGGCCGTGATACCGGAACAAGGCCGTGATACCGGAACAGGGCCGTGGTACCGGAACAAGGCCGCGGTACCGGAACAGGGCCGTGATACCGGAACAGGACCGGCGGTACCGGAGCGGGACTGGCAGTACCAGAACAGGGCCGCGGTACCGGAACAGGGCCGTGGTACCGGAACAGGGCCGTGATACCGTAACAGGGCCGCGGTACCGGAACAGGGCCGTGATACCGTAACAGGGCCGCGGTACCAGAGCGGGACCGGCAGTACCGGAACAGGGTCGTGATACCAGAACAGGACCGGTGATACCGGAACAAGGCCGTGGTACCGGAACAGGGCCGCGGTACCGGAACAGGGCCGGTGATACCGGAACAGGGCCGCGGTACCGGAGCGGGGCTGGCGGTACCGGAACAGGGCCGTGATACCGGAACAGGGCCGTGGTACCGGAACAAGGCCGCGGTACCGGAACAGGGCCGCGGTACCGGAGCGGGGCCGGCAGGGGGAGCGGCGGCAGCGGCGGTACCGGCGCGGGGCCCGCAGGGGGAGCCCGCGGGCGGGCGGAGGCGGCGCGGCCCGGCCCGCTCAAGATGGCGGTGCGGAAGAAGGACGGCGGCCCCAACGTCAAGTACTACGAGGCCTCGGACACCGTCAGCCAGTTCGACAACGTGCGGCTCTGGCTCGGCAAGAACTACAAGAAGGTAGGTGGGCGAGGGTGCGATGGGGCAGCGCCGCCGCCCCGCGCCGGGCCCGGCCTGTCACGGCGGCGCCGCCGCCATCGCCCCCCCCACACCCACCGCCGCCCCCGGGCCCCGCGGCCGCGCTGACCCCTCGCCCCCGCAGTACATCCAGGCCGAGCCCCCCACCAACAAGTCGCTGTCGAGCCTGGTGGTGCAGCTGCTGCAGTTCCAGGAGGAGGTGTTCGGGAAGCACGTCAGTAACGCGCCCCTCACCAAGCTGCCGGTGAGAGCCGCCGACACCGGGCACGGGGGGGACGCGGGGGGGACACCCGGGGGTCTGGGGACAAGGCCCCGAGCGGGGACGGTGCCCCAAAAGGGTGCAGGGATGGACCCCGATGGCCCTGGGACGGGGTCCTGGATATCCGGGGGGAAGCTCCAATGAAGGGGGGACAAGGACCTTGGCTCGGGACAGCACCCAAAGATGTGGGGACAGCACCCTGATAGCCAGGGCCAGCCCTCAGTACCCGGGGGACAGCATCCCAGTCCCCAGGGACAGCCCCAGCAAGCTGGGGACAAAGCCCTGATGGGCAGGGACAAGGTCCTGAGCAGGGACAGTGCCTGAAAGACGTGGGTACAAGACCCCAAAGACCTGGGGACAGGGCCCGGGACGGAGCCCCAGTGAGCTGGGGACAAGGGCCTGAGCGGGGACAGCACCCGAAGCCCCAGTGACCCCGTTCAGCATTGCAGTGACCTGGGGACAGCACTGACCACGGACAGCAGCCCTGGGACAGTGCCCTGGTCAGGGACACGCCCCGGTGTCCCGGGGACAGTGCCTGGGGACGCTGGGGCACCGTTCTGCTGGCAGCTGCCCCCAAGCAGCATCTGTGCCCCAAGGACCAGGGGACGCTGCCCCTGGGACCACAGGACAGCACCCCATGGCCCTGGGGACGGCGTCCCCACACAGGGACAGGTCCCCAGCTGGGGACAGTGCCCCAGCCCTGCAGGGACTGGGGCCATCCCAGCCCAAGGCACCTGGATGAGGGGATGGTGCCCTGACACAGGGGTGTCACCCCGATGGAGTGGCACCCAGACTTGGGGATGGGACCTCAGCGAGGGGATGGCACCCACACATGGGGGTGTCACCGTGATGAGGAGGTGTCACCCCAACAAGAGGGTGACACCCTGCCCAGCTCCCCCACCACCCCCCTGACCCAACTCCTCCCCTTCCAGATCAAATGCTTCCTGGATTTCAAGGCGGGGGGAGCCCTGTGCCACATCCTGGCAGCGGCCTATAAATTCAAGAGCGACCAAGGATGGTGAGCACCCACCTGCACCCATCGGGACGGGGGTCTTGGGTGGTTGGGGGGCCGTGAGGGGGTCCCAGGGGCAAGGGTGGGGGTCCCCTCCATGGGAACACCCTGGGATGGCCTCGGGCAGGGGTGCACGGGGTGGGCTGGTTGTAGGGCTCCCACCTCCAGAGCAAACACGTGCTGGGCAGTGTCCCCCCTCCACGGACCCCTGATGGGGTTCAGGCGCGTGTCCCACCCCCACCCCCCCAAATTTTGGATGCTGACAAGGAGACCTGAGCTGTGGCTTTCATGAGAGTCGCTCTTTTCTTCCAATAAGGCGGCGTTTCGATTTCCAGAATCCCTCGCGGATGGACCGCAACGTGGAGATGTTCATGACCATCGAGAAATCCCTGGTGCAGGTAAGAGGCCCCATCCCTGACCCCCCCGGGCCCCCCTGTCCCCCTCCAACCTCACCAGTCTGCTCTCCACCCCCCAGAACAACTGCCTGGCCCGGCCCAACATCTTCCTGCACCAGGAGATTGAGCCCAAACTGCTGGGCAAGCTGAAGGACATCGTCAAGAGGCACCAGGTGGGTGGCAGCACTGGGGTGGGGGGCACGAGGGGGGGGTTCATCCAACACCTCATCCTGGTATTTAGCCCTGGATCCAACCCCTGGCTCTCGCAGGGCACCGTGACCGAGGACAAGAGCAACGCGTCCCACATTGTCTGCCCTGTCCCCGGGAACCTGGAGGAAGGTGGGTGTGAGGGAGGGGTTGGGGGGTCAGAGCTGTGCCTGGGATCACGGGAGGCTCCAGGGGGGCTGCAGGATCAGTGCCAGCCCCCCCGTGTCTCCCACAGAGGAGTGGGTCCGGCCGGTCATGAAGCGTGACAAGCAGGTGCTGCTGCACTGGGGCTACTACCCAGACAGGTGAGAGGGCCCAGGTGGGGGGGCTGAAACTTTGGGGAGCCCCCTGGCCCCCCAGAATCGCTGTGGGTGCCACTCTGACCCCCGTCCTTCACCTGCAGCTACGACACCTGGATCCCCGCCAGCGAGATCGAGGCGTCCGTGGAGGACGCCCCGACACCGGAGAAGCCTCGGAAGGTAACGGGGGTCCCCCGGGCTGGGGGAGCAGCTGCAGCCCCCTCCCCACCCCCGCCTGACACACCCCCACACCTGCCCAACAGGTCCATGCCAAGTGGATCCTGGACACGGACACCTTCAACGAGTGGATGAACGAGGAGGATTACGAGGTGACGGACGAGAAGAGCCCCGTCACCCGCAGGAAGAAGATCTCGGCCAAGACGCTGACGGACGAGGTCAGAGTGGGTGCAGAGCCCCCCGTAGAGGAGGTGCTGGGGGTCTTGTCCCACCCAGCTGAACCCAGTGCCATCCCCCATGTGCCTCCCAGGTGAACAGCCCCGACTCGGACCGGCGGGACAAGAAGGGGGGTAACTACAAGAAGCGGAAGCGCTCGCCCTCCCCGTCACCCACCCCTGAGGCCAAGAAGAAGAACGCGAAGAAGGGGTGAGCTGGGGCGGTCCAGGGAGGGGGTCTGGGCCCCACAGAGGCTGTGGGACGCTGGTTCTGGGGTGGTGGTGACTGGGCATGGGGGGGTCTCTCCCTTCCCAGACCTTCCACCCCCTACAACAAATCCAAGCGCGGGCACCGCGAGGAGGAGCAGGAGGACCTGACAAAGGACATGGACGAGCCCTCGCCCGTCCCCAACGTGGAGGAGGTCACCCTGCCCAAAACAGGTCAGGGTGAGGACCAGAAGCCCCCCACAAGGTTCCCCCCTTGTGAACTGGACTGGGGTGGGGTGGGGGGTGTCCTGGGGGTGCTCAGTGCTGATTCCCTCCACCACAGTCAACACCAAGAAGGACTCAGAGTCAGCGCCCGTGAAGGGGGGCACCATGACAGACCTGGGTGAGTGAGGCACCGTGGCAGAGCCCCGGGACCCCCGGCCTGGCAGTGCCCAAAACCACCCCTCTCCTCCCTTCAGATGAGCAGGAAGATGAGAGCATGGAGACAGCTGGCAAGGTGAGTCCAGGGAAGGAGCACCATTGCTTGATGGTGTCACCTCTTTATCCCTCTTTCCTTGCCCCTCTTCTGGGTGCAAAAAGGCCCTTTTCTGGCCATCCCCTCACCCCTGGGGCTGCAGGCACCTTTGCCCCAGGCCATTGGCCTCATCTTGCTCTCGGTGAGGATGACAAAGGGCGCAGAAGGGGGGCCCAGGACCCCCTTGCCCATGCTGTGCTGGTCTGTGGGCAGGACGAGGAGGAGAACGGCACTGGGAGCAAGGGGGAGCAGGCCAAGAACCCCGACCTGCACGAGGACAACGTGACGGAGCAGACCCACCACATCATCATCCCCAGCTACGCCGCCTGGTTCGACTACAACAGGTACGGGGCTGGCTGAGGGTGAGGGCGGGGATGAGGAGGGTGTCCAGGCCACCCACCCGAGCGTCTCCTCTTGCAGCGTCCACGCCATCGAGCGCCGCGCCCTGCCCGAGTTCTTCAACGGCAAGAATAAATCCAAGACCCCCGAAATGTGAGCCCTGGCCCCCCATGCCACCCCCTATCACCCCCGGGGCCGTGCCCAGCGCTCACCCCCCTGCCCTCCCGCAGATACCTGGCCTACCGCAACTTCATGATCGACACGTACCGGCTGAACCCGCAGGAGTACCTCACCTCCACCGCCTGCCGCCGCAACCTGGCCGGCGACGTCTGTGCCATCATGCGGTGGGTGCGGGGCCGGGGGCGGGGGGGAGGTTTGGCACCCTCGTATTGGCAGGAGACCGGGGCCAGTGGGGCTGGGACCGGTGTGGCACCGCGGTGCTGACGGGGTCAGTGTGGCACCTCAGCACTGACGGGGTCAGTGTGGCACCTCAGCACTGATGAGGGGTCAGTGTGGCACCTGAGCACTGATGGGGTCAGTGTGGCACCTGAGCACTGATGAGGGGTCAGTGTGGCACCTGAGCA